TTCTGGCCTGCAGGCATACAGACAGAACATTGTATACATAATAAATAAATAAATAAAATTTAAAAAAAAATCTTTTTTGGGGGGGGGTTGAGACAGGGTTTCTCTGTGTAACAGGCCTGGCTGTCTTGGAACCAGCTCCTGTAGACCAGACTGGCCCCAGACTCACAGAGATGCGCCTACCTCTGCCTCCCAAGTGCTGGGATTAAAGGCATGCACCACTAACTGCCCAGCAATAATATAACATCTTGACGGTGAATATATTAATATTCATACTTTTCGGGCTGGAAAGATGGCTCAGAGGTTAAGGGCATTGCCTGCTCTTCCAAAGGTTCTGAGTTCAATTCCCAGCAACCACATGGTGGCTCACAACCATCTGTAATGGGGTCTGGTGCCCTTTTCTGGCTTGCAGGCATACACACAGACAGAATGTTGTATACAAAAGAAAGAAAGAAAGAAAGAAAGAAAGAAAGAAAGAAAGAAAGAAAGAAAGAAAGAAAGAGAGACTGAGAAAGTCTGAAAAGAAATATTCATACTTTTCTGTATATGAAATATTTAATAATTTAATTTAGAAAATTGAATTAAACCCCTACTATTACAGCTAAGGAAGCAGTAAATAATAAAGGGGGGGGTAATAAAGGACTAGCCTCTCAGTAATATTATTTTCACTCTATTAAGAAAAAGTAAAGTATAATTTACATATGTATTTCAGAAAGATTTGCTTACCCTTAAATTTATTCATTGTACCAATATTTTGAAGAATTCTTCTTGGACTGTTTGCTGCAAAACAAGCTGCCTTCTCATATTCGCCAAGGGAGATTAATTCATTGAACCTACAGCCATTGCATTTCAAAACACATGACAATGATACACAAAAAACATATTAGAAACTAAGTACAGTGGTAGAGTGAGAACAAAGCAATAAATTATAACTTGACTTGTCCACGCAGGAGGATGTTCAGTTCTTCTCGGAGTTCTAGAGTTTGACTGTTTGTCAGGGTTAAATTCTCACCTTCTCAGTAACTTTGTACCTGACCCTGCATCTTGTCCCCTCACATAGAAACCAGGAAGGAAGAACACAAGAGCTATCTGGGAAATAAGGACACAGATGCAGCCCAGCGGGAGGACCAGAGGAGCTCAGAAGCCGGTCCAGCTGTTACTCCCGGCCTCCCGTGACCACAGAGATGGTCGCTCAGGAAGCCTTTACTCTTCCTCCTCTCAGCAAAGGTCCCACACTAGCTGTCAGGGAAAGGGAAGTCATATGGAGTTGCAAAGGAAAGTTGAACACATGGAAAGACACCAGAAAAACATGCAAATGCATAATAAGACTTGGAATATTGGGAACATTGTGGTCATGCCTTTAATCACAGTATTCGGGAGGCAGAAGCAGGCAGATCTCTGTGAGCTCGAGGTCAGCCTGGTGTACAGAGTGAGTTCTAGGTCCACCAGGGCTACACGGAGAAACCCAGTCTCAAAAAAACCAAAAACCAAAACCAAAACCAAACCAAACCAAACCAAACAAGACTCAGAATTTCAACAAAAGTGTTCCTCGCATCTGAAAACCTGAGAGTACTACGAACAGCCAGGTAGCTGGAGTCAGCTGGGAAAGGGCGTGGTCCGTGAAGTGTTTGCCTCAGCAAAGGTGATGGAAAGACCTGACTCCACAGAGCTATCAGGACCCTGACATGAGTGCAGTGGTATGTGCATGTGTACACTACAGTAATAATAATAGCTAAGTAAATAAATAAGATGGAGAAGCAATTAAAGAATGGCACTTAATACTGACTTCCGGCCTCTGGACTCGTGCACCTAGTCACCCGTGCATGCACATAAAAGTTCACAAAAATTAAAAATTATATTAATTTTTGGAGAGACGGCTCAGTGGTTAAAAACACATACTGTTCTTGCAGAAGACCTGTTTGACTCCCAGCATCTACACTGGGTGACTCATAAGCACCTGTAACTTCAGATCTAGGGGATCTGACTCCTCTGGCATCTGTGGGCACTGAAATTCATGAGCACAGACTCATGTATGTATACATACTTAAAAACAACAGATATTTGAAAATGATATTAAATTAAAAATCCTGGTAGACTCAGGAAAATCTATAGTTAAAAAAATAACCTTTTGGGGCTGGAGAGATGGCTCAGTGGTTAAGAGCATTGCCTGTTCTTCCAAAGGTCCTGAGTTCAATTCCCAGCAACCACATGGTGGCTCACAACCATCTGTAATGAGGTCTGGTGCCCTCTTCTGGCCTGCAGACATACACACAGACAGAATATTGTATGCATAATAAATAAATAAATATTAAAAAAAATAACCTTTGGCTGGGCGGTGGTGGTGCACGCCTTTAATCCCAGCACTTGGGAGGCAGAGGCAGGCGGATCTCTGTAAGTTCAAGGCCAGCCTGGTCTACAAAGGGTGTTCCAGGACAGGCTCTAAAGCTACAGAGAAACCCTGTCTGGGGGGGGGGGGACCTTTGAATCATCTTTATCCACTTCATTCTACCACAACAATAAACAAATCAACAAGTGGAAACTGCTTAACATTTATCATTTTGGATATTAAATATGCCACTTTCATTACCCTGATAGCTTGTAAATTAACCTTAGAATAGCTTACACCTATCTCAGATTGCACATATGAAACAGGTTCACTGCTCCCTGGTCTTGGCTGTGGATACACCAAACCACTCAGCCGCTTGATGGTCTGTGACCTGGAATCTCCCACTAGAGCAAGGGTCAGACTGGCTCAGCAAGTTAAGGTGCTCTGCACTATGCCTGACAACCTGAGTTCCATTCCCAGGATCCACGCGGTAGAAAGACCAAACTCTATCACCCGCTGCCCTCTGACTGCTAGGGCCCCTACGTACCCCCACAAAATAATAAATAAAGTGTAATTAAAAATAAGCCAGGTGGTGGCGGCGCACGCCTTTATTCCCAGCACTTGGGGTGGGGGGGGGGAGCAGAGGCAGGTTCAAGGACAGCCAGAACTATTTCAGAGAAACTCTGTCTCAGAAAACAAAAATTAATTATTAATTAAAAAATATTATATATAGTAATAAGTAACCTAATATATCATAGAATAAAAATAATTACAAAAAGAGATTACACTAGCTACAGTAATCTAAAATTATCTGATAAATTCATAGATTTTTATAAAAATCTATGAAAAAAAGAAAATTCTAACTTTTTTTCTAATTTGTCAAATGCAACAGAAAATTTTTCCTTCCCTCCCCCACAGTTTGCCCTCCCTCTACCCACCACCTGTCTACTCCTCCCCCTTCACTCCTCCTCCAAGAACAGAATTTTTAAATTACAAAAGACAAACCTACAAGCCACAGGTCAGGAGGTGGGCAGGAGGATCAGTAGTTTAAGGTCATCCTATACTACCTGCTGAGGTTTGGGGTTGTTAGAAGGTATCTCAAAACAAACAGGTCCAACTCAAGAGGCAGAGGCAGAACTCTATGAGTTCAAGGTCAGCCTGGTCTATAGAGTGAGTACCAGGACAGGCTCTAAAGCTACTCAAGAAACCCTGTCTTGAAAAACCAAAAACCAAAACAAGACAAATAAAGAAATGCAACAACAAAAACCCACCCCAAACAAACAAACCCAAAATACAAATGATATTTGCCTTTCGATGTAGTAAAGAATAATTATAGCTTCTTTAGTTTTGCTTGGGTCATCTTCAAACAGCTCATCAATAATGCTTTCATCACCTAAACAGTGAAAGGACAATCTGTTTTGGTGAGCTAGGCGATTTTACTGCTTTGGTTTCAAACACCAACCCTATCCTAAAGGGGGTAGTTTCTCTCCCTGGCCTCATTCTCAGGAATACCCTCAGGCTTGTTTCTCTTTCTCTCTCTCTCTCTCTCTCTCTCTCTCTCTCTCTCTCTCTCTCTCTCTCTCTCTCTCTCTCCCTCCTGCATGTCTGTGTGAGGGTGTCAGATTCCCTGGAATAGGAGTAAACTGTGGCACTGTGGGTCCTGGGAACTGAACCCTGGTCCTGTGGGAAAGCTTCCCCACTGAGCTATCCCCAGCCCCAGGTCTCTCTTTGTCTTATCACGTCTACTCTTTCATCAATCATCTGTCAGGCACTGAAGGAAGAAACCCACAGGGTAAGAGAGAGCTAGAGGAGGTAGTGTATTTTAAAACTCAGCCTAGAAACCCTTTAATGCTGGGGGAGCACCTTCTACTGCTTATGCTGATGTAGGAGACAGATAACTACCGAAGATTGCTTTGGTTTTCTGAATTTTCTCCAAGACGTCTTCAAATGGGATTCTCATGTTATGCTTCAGCCATGAAGTAAGTGTGTGTGAAATAACCTGCAGTCTTTGATGGCTGTAAAAGAAGAGCATCAACAACACCCTGATGCCGGGCGGTGGTGGCGCACGCCTTTAATCCCAGCACTTGGGAGGCAGAGGCAGGTGGATCTCTGTGAGTTCAAGACCAGCCTGGTCTACAAGAGCTAGTTCCAGGACAGGCTCCAAAACCACAGAGAAACCCTGTCTCGAAAAACAAAAACAAAAACAAAAAACAACACCCTGAGCTAGGACCACACAGCGGAAGGTGAGAGGAAACCTAAGCTAACTCATGTTCATACCGAAACTTCAGGTCTTTGTTCAGATTTTCGGCTAAATCTCGGCGTTTCAGTAACACAATCATTTCCTCATCCAGATCAGCCTTCTTTTGGGCTGGTACATACTCTCTTGACATATCTTGCTTACACTTTATATATCTATCTTCAAGATGCTGCTTATATTTATTGAGAGCATCCAGATTGACAGAATCTTGAAGAGTCATCCCTAGAGGAAAAACAAACAGGAGTGAGTCTCAAGGAGGATGGTTTACTGCATGATAAAATTCAGAAATGGAAACAGGAACTTATAGCTTCCTGAACATAAATACAATTATCACAATATTTTAATGCTAATAGTTTTTTGTTTTTATATCTCCTTGTTTATTGTGGTGCTGAGAACTCTGGCTTTATGCAAATTAGGAAAATTCTCAAAACCCAGCTGAGTTTTATAAATTCAGTGAAAATTGACTGTTCCTAGAACATACAAACCAAACATCTAATGACTGAGCTAAGATTAGGCCAACGAATTTCTCTCAAACCACATCTACTACTCTCCAAGTAACCATGGGACAATGGTTTGGTTTTTTTTCAACACAAACTGATGCAAACCAAATTTTGGGATGTCTCTTATTCTTAAAATGTCCCTTCTCTTCATTACACCTTTCTCTCTCTCTACACACACACACACACACACACACACACACACACACACACACACACACACTTCAAACGCCTTCCTTTCTCATCTGGCCAATTACTGACATTAGGACCCACATCCAGGTGTAGTGGTACATTGGGGACGGAGGTGGGGGGGGGACGGGGAGACACGCAGGCGGATCTCTGCAAGCTCAAGGTCATCCTGATCTACAAAGTAAGTTACAGGACAGCCAGGCTACATCGAGAGAACCCGTCTTTAAACTAACTAACCATCTAAATAAATAAATGACACGTACCCAGGGGGAGAAACGGCTCACTGGTGAAGAGCGATGGTTCTTTTACTAGAAGACTAGTCGATTTCCAGCACCCACAGGGTGACTCACAACCTCCTCTAACTTCAGTTCTAGGGCTCTGATGCCTCTCCTGACCTCTACAGGCACCAGGTGTGCATGTGGTACACAGACATACATGTAAACAAAATACACATACATATAAAATAAAAAAAACAATAAAAACTTGGGATAGAAAGATTGCTCAGCATATCACCATAGAACCTTCATCTGGAGATGGATGGAGATAGAGACAGAGACCCACACTGGAGCACTGGACTGAGCTCCCAAGGTCCCAATGAGGAGCAGAAGGAGGGAGAACATGAGCATGGAAGTCAGGACCACGAGAGGTGCACCCACCCACTGAGACAGTGGGGCTGATCTATTGGGAGCTCACCAAGGCCAGCTGGACTGTGACTGAAAAAGCATGGGATAAAACCGGACTCTCTGAACATGGCAGACAATGAGGGCTGATGAGAAGCCAAGGACAATGGCATGGGGTTTTGTTCCTACTTCATGTTCTGGCTTTGTGGGAGCCTAGCCAGTTTGGATGTTCACCTTCCTAGACCTGGATGGAGGGGAGAAGACCCTGGACTTTCCACAGGGCAGGGAACCCTGACTGCTCTTCAGACTGGAGAGGGGGGGGGGGGGGGGGGGGGGGGGGGGGGGGGGGGGGGGGGGGGGGAGGGAAATGGGAGGCTGGGAGGAGGCAGGAATTTTTTTTTCAAATAAAATAATAAAATAAAATAAATCAGTCCATAGGGAAAAAAAAGATTGCTCAATGGTTAAGAACATTGGATGCTTTTATAGAGGACCCAGGTTCAATTCCCAGCACCTACATAGTAGCTCACAAGCGTCTGTATGTAATTCTAGTTTCAGGAGATCCAAAGCCCTCTTCTGGCCTCCAGGCACCAGGCATTGCACATGGTGCACAAACACATATGTTTTAAAACCCATAACATATGTTTTTAAACCCATAAAATAAAAATTTAAAAACAATAATAAAAACTAAAACAGTTAAAAAAAAAAAAGGACACACCAGAATTTCTCCACCCTCAGGATCAATCCTTTTAGATTTTAAGCACTCCCCCACCCCCAACCTTCTTTGAAGTTAGCCAATATGCTGTGTATTCTATGTTTATTTACATTTATTATTTGGAGTTTGCTAGTCACAGTTTCACATTTGAAAGTAAATCTAATCCCTACTATTACCAAATACAAGAGGATTTGACAACTGGAGTCAAAATTTTGTAATATAGAATAATTACCACAAAACACAGCTTCTTCAATTTAGGTGAAATCTGTTTTCCTGAAGTTTCCACCTACCGGTTCTGCCTCTGGATAAACACTAAGTAAAAACCTTTTAAGTTCTGAAGTTACTGACCTCAGATTACTATCCTGTCTTGTGAGTCAGTCTGTTCATCATCCTAATCTCTCTGAGTCCTGGATGAAGCCAAGAGATACTCCATTTACTAAAGTCATGAAGACATGAAACCCGTGAGTGCGGACGTCACCATGAATAACATTCAACAAACTTAATACACTATAATTTTTAATAGACCAGTGGCTCTCAAATTTTAGAGTGTATCAGAATAACCAGAATTTGAGACAACAGCACCCAATGGACTCTTTCATCAAGTCTCTGACATAGTAAGTCTGAGATGAGATCTAAAGGGGTGTGTGTGTGTGTGTGTATGCAGCAGGTGTACATACACACGTGTGTAAGTACATGGTTTATATCAGGTGTCTTCCTCCAGCCGAGCAGCTCCAAGGATCCACTTGTTTTTGCCTATCTGTCCACCCCAGCACTGCTTTAGAGTGTACACCGGCTCTCACTAGGGAGAGGGCTCTGAACGCTGAGTGCACAGCAGCAGACACCTGACTAGTCTATCAAACACAAGGATTTCTACTTTTGATCATTCTCAAGGGTTGCAACATCGACGTGGGAGCGTCATGTGAGCTGGCCAGACTGCAGTCTGGACATCTTTCAGAGTTGCTTCAAGTTTGCTCTTTCCTGAGTATCTACTAGGACCCTGTCTAAAGTTGCTTGTACAACACATACATTAGCAGATTATACAATTTTTTTTTGTAAAAAAATGTTTGCTGTTGGTGTAAGAGACAGCCAGCTGGACATGCTGGGGGTTCCCTGAAATGGGGCTGTGAAGGAGACGTGGAGACGCTGCACCTGGGATGGGTCTCCAGAGCTGCCTGGTGGAAGCACAGAGCTTCACTTCTTTCTTGTCATACTCTGCCCTCAGCTGTCTCATCTCGTCTATTTGCGACTGAATCTCTTTGGAATTATTTTCAATAATCCTCACTCTGAAAGAAAAAAACAGAAATGCTTTTGTGTGCCTGTCGCAATCCATTTAATTCTTGAATCACAATATCTAAAGTAAAACAGGCTAGATTGTTGCTTGATTTGGCTCGCTATGAACTAGATGTTCAGAAAAGAATGCCTGGAGAAAGCTGACACACAAATAGGGAACAATTCTGCTCAGAATGCCAAGGAGAGCAAGTACTGTTATTGCTAACCCATTGCAAGTCAACAAACATTAGCTATAATCTGTTTACAAACACCATCTATTCCGTTTAGTAAAAACAACTGCTACAACTGAAAAAGTATTTTTAATTTTCTTTTTTCTTTCTTTTGAAAGGATCTTATCATGTAGCTTAATTTGGCCTTGAATTTGTGAGCCTGCTCCTTCAGTGCTGGATTCCAGGCGTGAACCACTTCACTAGGCTTAAAGAAAAGCTTTAAACAATCAAAAGAAGAAGAGAAAGAAAAAGAGAACTGTTACTTTGCTGGGGGCTATTGCAACAATCACTACAAATCTTGAGATTTAGCAACATTATCTTCTCATTATTCTGGAGGCCAGAAGTCCAAAAGTAGTATGACATCTAGTACACCACACTGAAGTATGAGAAACTAGTGTTTACGAAGTTGAGACAGGGGGATTGCTGTAAGTTTGAATTTAACCAGAGCTACAGAGTGAAACCTTATCTCAAAAACATTGTTTTTCAAAGGGCATTTTATTATTTGGTGGGTCACTTATTATTGGGGAATCACCGGACGGAGTGCTGTAATTTTGGTGGGAATCATGAACTTGTACTGTCAAATCGCCCATGCATGAAATGGCCTCCCACTTTCATGATACCACAATGTACCTCCACTATACTAAGAGGGATCATAAAATCCTCAAGCAAAAATATTAACAGTTTTACTCAAAATACATAATAATACAGTTGGTAGAAGGGAATATAAAACTACAGCTTTACCATCAAATGTAATTAAATGTAGGCATGGTATAATTCTATTACCTTAGCACTTGAAGGCTGAAGGTCTTGAGCAAGGCCAGCATAATGAGTGCACAGTTAGCTTAGGCTGAATAATGACACCCTGTCTCAAAATAACAAACCAAACAGTACGACTAAAGACCAACGATTATTACCATCGAGCCGCATGACACGATCCTGACATACTCACTTTGCTTCAAGTTGGATGGCTCTTCTCTGGTGATACACCAGTGCTGTGGGCTCTGCTGCCAAGACTTTAAGTTTCCCATGAAGATAAAAAGCAGTTCTTCGGCCTTTCTTTATTGTCTCAATAAAGGCATCGTATTCTTTTTTGATTGAAGTAAGAACGGACTTGTATGAATTGACATAGTCTATTACCTGAAATAAGATTTCTCTGTCTGTGGTACTGAATTTTTTTTAACAGAAGATACTGTAATCAAAAGCCTTTCAAGCAGATTATTTTTAGGTGAGTAAAGACTACTAATTAGACATATAAACATCTTACAGCAAACTCAACATGACTATGCACTAAAAACAATAACCACCAAATACATGCTGTGAGTCACTGAACTCACAGGGATCCGCCTGCCTCTGCCTCCCGAGTGCTGGGATTAAAGTCGTGTGCCACCACCTCACAGCTGCTGGGTGTGCTCCTAACCACTGAGCGATCTCTCTAGCCCCCATTGAGATATTGCAATCTGAACTCATTCACTTCCACTAGGAAAATAAGAGTTCCTGCGTTCCTAATTGCATCTCTAACCTCAACATGTCAAAAACAACTATGAAAACCCTTATCACTACATACTCAAGGTTTCCAATAATATTTAAGCAAAACATCTATCAGGAGGGATCACAGAGGAAAAGAACAATAGTAAGAAACTAAGTGCCTGCAGAAAAGACAGGTCTCGATGCAAGGGGCTGAATCCATGGCACACAGTGCTTTGTTAGGGCTTTCTTTCCTTAATCTTGTATACGTATCACTCATACAAAAATAAATTATCAAAATTTTAAAAAGGTTAAGAAATAAACAGAAAAATTTACGTTTTTCACATACTGATGATAGATAGAGAATAAAGGCAATCAATCCAAAACTTTCAAATCTGAAATTATGTTTGTTCATCTCTGTGACATTTCTTGGGTATGTTACCCTCCATGAGTTTTCTTTAGCTAAATAGTATCTAAACAAAGATATTCAGGAAGATGTCCACTTTACCACATGGGGTCTAGAGAGGTCGTTGCTCTGGAGCTGCAGCTTTTCCCCATAGGCACACCACCTGTGCCCCAACCACGAACTTTCCTGAGGAGAGACTTCCCACACTGGGTCTCCTGCTCCCTGCTCCCGCTATCTTGTCTCGCATGCTCCTGTAAGGCTCTGATAATCCAGCTCAGACACATCAGTGGGTGTTAAAACACCTGCAGTGTCAGTGGGCCAGAAGAAACAGGTGGCAGGAGAACACACATGGATACCTTTTGAACACACAGAAAAGCACTACAGTGGAGGACGCAAACTGGCATACCACCCGTAGAACAGAGCTGGCAATGTCACTTTACACACACAACATTTAAAAGTTTGGGACCTCTTTACCACCAATCTACTGATAGTTCCTTGAAAATTCTGCTAGACTAAGACGACAGAAGCCCCGTGCCTTAAGGGCAGGTTCACTGGGTTGGCTCTTCATTCTCCCACAGCCTCCACCATTCCCTATCTGCTCACCTAGCCTATGTAATTCTTTTAGAATATTTTTCCGACCTCTACTTTTCTTCATTTCTTTGGTGGGTATATTGCTACTTTCTACTTTCTTGTTTCCCTTTCTCTTCTTTTCCTTTGGCTTCATATGTCCCAGTATGGCCTTCAACTCACTATGTAGCTAAGGATGACATTAAATTTTTGATATTCTTGCCTCCACCTCCCAAGTGTTGGGATTACAGGTGTGCACTACCATGCCAGAGTTAAACCATGCGGTAATGAGGATTGAACCTAGAGCCTTGTGCCTGCTGCCCAAGCTACATTCCCTGTCTCTGTACTTACTTCTCCTAAAACACTCTTCTTTGGGCTGGAGAGATGGATGGCTTGGTGGTTAAGAGCACTGGTTGCTCTTCCAGAGGACCCAGATTCACTTCCCAGCACCCACAAGGTAGCTCACAACTGTCTGTAACAACAGTTATAGCTGATCTAACACCCTCACACAGATATGAATGCAGACAAAACACCAATGCACATAAAGTAAAAATTAAATTAAAAAACTGCCTTTTAAAGCATATATTCATCATAGATAATAAGTTTCATAATGACATTTCCATACATGTGTTTTAATTTTAATCCTCTTCCTTTTCCCAAACACTTGCTACTTCTACCTTATATTTATTTATTTTGGGGATTCAATGAGCTTAATTAGGATCGCTTATAAGAGCATAAGTGAGAGATTATTCATAAGAGCATAAAGCAACTGACCAGTGACTACAATACTGAAGAAAATGTCTCTTTCCCCAGCCCCCAGCAACCACTGATGGCCTAACAATCCTCAGAAGGAACTAGGCTTTTATTCACACAAGAAACAAAACTCAATGGAATGTTTAAAAATCAACCAAAACAAACAAACAAACAAAAAAAATCAACCAAAACACTGAGTTCCCCAGGCAGGCCATTTCTGTGAGGTTGAGGCTAGCCACCTAGGGCTACATAGTGAGCTTCAGAAAGGCTGAGTTCTGATTCTGCCTTGTGTGTTTCACTCTGGGACAAAAGTCTAAGCTGCGTTCTTCCTCCAAGAAGCAGGAAAAGATGCACTTTTGTTGTCAGGGCATCTTCTAAAGGATGGGACAGGATATGCTAGGCAAATACTTTAGAATCAATGAACAAACTGCAGTTGTTCAAGAAGAGACAGTTATTTCTAAAATTGCAAAGAACAAAATCAGACATGCTATGTAAAACTATGACATTTTCTAATCGAGTCCCATTATTTCCACGGCTAAAATCAGCCAAAGCCTTTATGCACCAGATCTAGACCTCTATCAGGGCTCACATTGTTTAGATGAAACTTCCGGTTGATTTATTCATGGATTTTGAGATGAGTCATCTTGCTGGTGGCCTCCAATTCCTGGCTGCAAGGGATCTTCCAGCCTCCCTACCAGCTAGGATTACTGGCACAGCAGCTGACTTAAGAGGTTTCATTTAGCATGTCATATCATATCTAGACCAAGATTTTAGTGATATCAGGAATAAACCTAGAACATAAACCACTAGCTCTTGTTCACAATGCAAATTCCAGCAAATCAGATGGCACCTTAACAGGAAAGGGTAAAAATGATTACCAGAGGGCACAGCCAAGTTGGTGACAAAAAAGTATCTTGCTAAACTAAAATAATTGACTCAAGAAATGTAAATGCAGCACCGAGCTTTCCCCATTCATCCTTGTTTAACAAACTCTGGTTTCTCCAAAGAGTACACAGAACGTGGCCGACAAGGCAGTAGTATTTCTGAGGCAGTAGTTAAGCTAGGTAACGTATAGTCTCCTGGAAATGTCCCGTCTTAAAGAGCATCATGGTACCTTGTCGAAAACATTTCGGTATATGGTGAAATACTCATCAGCAGGTCCTTCCTCGTTGCAGCCCACTCTCTTGGTTTCTGTAATTATGTATCTTTGTATGCTTTCCAAAAACTCCTTGTCACTTCTACTAATGATGGGAGGAAGAACTGTATGTTTGTTTACTTCTTGGAGTGACATAAATCTTAATCTGTAAGCTTGTTCACTGGAGAAAAATCAAACTTGGACCTTCTTTTGCAACAAAGCCAAAAAACTTTAGTGAGCCTGAAATAAAACATGACCATCAGTTAATCTATAAACCTACAAGTGTTACATCAAACGTCAATTTAAAATTTTTTTCAGAAAAAAAATTCTTAGGGATCTGTCACTGAGATAAATATTTCAGTCAAAGAATTAAAATGCCCATGCTATTCTACAGACATATTGTCCCCAAATATGCCAGACAATTAGGAACTCTCCCCTTAGGGCCATGAGAAGGTTCATCAAGTAGAGGTACTTGCCAGAGAACCTGAGTTGATACCCAGAATCCAGCTCAAGGTGGGAGGAGAGAGCCAGCGCCACGAAGCTGCCCTCTGACTGCCACACACAAGCCCCCTGCCCAGTTATGCACACAAAGGATGGCCAAATGGAGAAAACAACCCTTCCCTTAGAAACCAAGCGGATTCCTCTGATGGTATCATTTAGGTGATAGCTTCATAGGTTTCAACAGTTTATTTTTTTTTTTTAATTTTTTTTTGGTTTTTCGAGACAGGGTTTCTCTGCGGCTTTGGAGCCTGTCCTGGAACTAGCTCTGTAGACCAGGCTGGTCTCGAACTCACAGAGATCCGCCTGCCTCTGCCTCCCGAGTGAGTGCTGGGATTAAAGGCATGCGCCACCATAGCCCGGCCGGTTTCAACACTTTACAAACTTTGTATTTTACAATGCCGGGGACTAAATCAAGGTCATGAACATGCTAAGTAATTAGTCTACTAATGAGGGATACCCCAGTCCCTCTTTTTAAAATTTTTGTATTACATTTTAATAATTGTAAGGATGCATTGGAAGAGTAGCTGTGACTCCACTCTTCCAATGGGAGGTTTGTTTCTTTCATGTGGGAACTACCGTGTGTGCTTCTTGCCGATACAAACAATACTTCTCTACCTCAGTGTCTGCCTAGCCCTGTAAGGCCTCTCCCTCACACAATGGCCACAAATAATTATTAGGTGAGTGAGTTTTGTTTTAAATTGTTATTTTAGAGACAGGGTTTCTTGCAAACCTGGCAGGTTTTAAACTCCCTATGTAGCTGAGAATGGTGCTGAAGACCTTCCTGCTCCCACTTCTCAGATGCACTACATGATTTAATAAATAAACGAAACCCCAACAACCACAAAGCATGAGTTCTGGGGCTGGAGGGCGGGCTCCTCAGCTAGGAGCACTGGGTACTGATTCTCAGCACCCACATGGTGACCTCTTTAAAGCACACACAGGGCAGCAGAAAAGGCCTTGTTGGGAGTTGTCAGCAGGGGAAAGTGTCTGGATGAAGCAGGGTGATGGTGAAAAGGATGAAAATTCATCAAATAGATGAAACTATCCATGAATAAAAACTGAAAAATTTAAAATTCCCTCTTGGCTATGGTAGACAGAACATAACCTTTAATCCTAGCATTTGGGAGGCAGAAATAGTTGGATCTCTGTGAGTTCAAGACCAACTTGGTCTACACAGTGAAATTCAAACCAGTTAGGGTTACAAAGTGAGACTCTGTCTCAAAAACAATAAAATGTTTAATTTTTTTCTAAAGAGCTCTAAAGATAGCATTTATTGCATAATATGAAATTCCACTAATTATTTAGCTATTCCCATTAAACACTATAAATAATGCTGCTTTGAATAAATGTTTCAGCTAACTTTATGTTTTGGCAATATAATTAATAACCAGTTATCTGAAATAACATATCAAACTTTAAATATCACAAAGATAAGAACCAGGACAGCAGTCTGCATGCCTTTAATCCCAGCACTTGGGAGGCAGAGGGCTAAGTTGGTTGACATAGTGAGATCCAGGTCAGCCAGGACTCCATAGTGAAACCTTGTCTCAAATAAACAAATTAAAATAAAAAATAAAGGAGACATCACAATAATTTTAAATTACAAAAGACTAAATTTATCTTTACACTGATGAGTTGGATAACAAAAGTCAATTTACAAGCGGTCATAAAGTAGTCTCACCACAGACACAAACAATGTATGGTTAAAATCTTCTTTAATTTAAAAAAGTTATTAGAGCCTGGCAAGGTAGTCCATGCCTTTCATCCCAGCACTTGGGAGGCAGAGTCTGGTGAATCTTTGTGAGTTTGAGGCCAGCCTGCTCTACAAAGCAAGTTCCAGGACAGCTAGGGCAGAGAAACCCGGTCTGGAAAAACAAAAAGTTACTTGGTGTCTGTGTATATGTGGGTGGGCATGCTGACGCACAGAGGTCAGAGGACAATTTATGGGAGTCACTCCTTCCCTCTGGAGGAACTGAACTCAGAAAGCACATTAGCTCACTGAGCCGCGTCATTGGCCTAAAGTTTCCTCAAATAGAACCAACTTGTTTACTCATTAGTTAAACCACTAGTTTTTGCAAGGTCTATTTTGTATTTGATGGCTAGGGATTCAGCAGTAAGATAAGGTTCTGATTCCTCAGAGCTCACAGTCTAGTAAGCCAGTCAGAGTACAGGTAGGTAACTGAAACAGCACGTAGAGTCAAAGAAGGGAAGGGCCCAACTGTTGGGCACGTGTGGTCACATCCTCAAGCTCTGGTGGTCTATCAATGTCCTTTAAGGGGTCAACAACTTTTTTCCCTCTGACTATCTTCATATGTCTTCGTCCCTCATGTTTGAAGGTAAAGCATTTTATTCTTATTCTTCGTAGTGTTGGATATCAATTCTAGGGCCCACACATGATAGATCAATACCCTACAACTCAGATAACCTTTAACCCCAAGGTAAAGTATTTGACTAATGTAGATGACACTTTTCTCTACGTCCACATTCCTGTGGGTACATGTAGATGTGGGGCCCGGAGGATCATGTGTGTGGGGTGTCCTTGGATCATTCTACACCTTAAAAAATTTTATTTAATAAGAGGCCATGGATTTTTTTTTTTTTTGATTTTTTGAGACAGGGTTTCTCCATAGTTTTTGGAGACTAGCTCTTGTACACCAGGCTGGCCTCGAACTCACAGAGATCCGCCTGCCTCTGGCACCCAAGTGCTGGGATTAAAGGCGTGTGCCACCACCGCCTGGCTTGGATTTTCTTTTATTAATTAATTATGTATACAATATTCTGTATGTCTGCAGGCCAGAAGAAGGCACCAGACCTCATTACAGATGGTTGTGAGCCACCATGTGGTTGCCGGGAATTGAACTCAGGACCTTTGGAAGAGCAGGTAATGCTCTCAACCACTGAGTCATCTCTCCAGCCCATCTACGCCTTATTTTAAAAGTGTTCTAACATTTAGTTGGTTTAGGGGTGGGGAACACTGTGAAAGGCTGAGGGCAACTTGCTGCAGTTGGTTCTCTCCACAGATCACAGCCCTGACAAGCTCAATAGAGGTCAGAGTCAGTAGTTTACCCTGAGGCAATACCTGGTTCCGATAAAGACCACAAACTGAGACCACCCAGGAAATTCCTACGGTTCCAACCAACCATTGTAGTTAGGACCACCTGCCAGCACACACCCATCGCTTTTCACCAGGACACCCCTAGACAAATGTCAGCCAATCAGGGGTCCTGAATCTTAGAAATCCCTTACCCCCACCTTTGCTACTACAAAAACTCAACTTTAACTGAGCTCAGGGCTTTCCTATTACTCTAATACGTTGAACACACGGAGAGACCGAGTTTGCAAACTTGTGTAAGAATAAATGGCTCTTTGCTTTTGCATAGGGGACTCGGTCCACTGGTTGGTTTGGGCGTGCGGGGTGGGGGGGGGGTGGGGCGGAGAGACGACGACGACACTCTCCACCATTTGGATCTCCGCACAGAACTACAGACGTCGACTCTCTTTACTGACTTAAGGCTCAACCTTATTTTGAAAGATATTTGTCTCGTGGCCGTACTGCCGGTTCTCCCAACCCCCAACCTCTTACTGAACCTGGAGCCTAGGATTTAGCTACTTTGGCTGTCTAAGGAGCGCTAGGAAGTTTCCCATCAGGCACAGCACCTTGTTTTTTCCCCCAGCGGGTTTTGGGGTTACAATATAGACTTCTGCATATCAAGCATTTTATATACTGAACCATTTCCTAGCCCATTTCTACTTTTCAAAACTTGTCGTTTAATCTACTAGCAGTGCTAGTAGATTAAAAAGAGGAAAGAGCCAACACAGTGTTAGGAGGACAGAGATAAAAAACCAAACCAAACAAACAAAAAGCAAAGCAAAGCAAAACAAAACCATTAAGAGTCTGCACTGGGTTTGTGAGGTGCAGAAAGGACTGGGCGAGCGCACGGCCTGCTCCTAACTCGTCTGTTTTGCCTATTTCTCCGGGACAGTACATGCTCCTAAGTATTTTTCCCAGGATGGACAACCTCCACGCCCGAGCTTGCAGTCGAGGCCTAAACAATCATTCTGCAGGTATCCTTACAGTACGGCTTTTAAAAGGTGCAGAGATGAAAATTCCGATGCATTTAACCGTTTCACACTAGGACGGCACGTGCGGCTCAGAAGCTTCCTCAGACTGGAGAAAAGGTAGCTGAGGGCCAGGAAGGGAGGTGCAAGGAAGCGGCCGCACCCTGGAAGACTTGGGGTGGGCGCCACTGTCCTGGGGACAGCTGAGGACGCCCTTCTCTCGAGGGCCAGCACAGCGGAACCCCGCGGCTCCTCATTAACCTGCCTTTCTAGGCATTTCCGGCACGGCCCCATCCCCAGGTCCTCACCTGAGTCCCTAAACCTGCTTAGAGACTGTAACCAGACAGCCCGCCCGGAAGTGTGGAACTGCATCTTGGGACAAGTAGTTTTAGCAAGAAGAAAGCAGCGAAAAAACTACAATTCCCAGCTAGACTTGTGTTACCTCTCTTTTTTCTCGTGCTAACAAGCCCCCTGTAAAGGAAAGCCCCTCTTGGTCGCATCGACTGTATAAGAGCGCCTTTTGAAACATTTTAAAGTGGAGCACACCGTTTCGAGGACCCAAATGGGAGAAAGAGCGTAGAGCTATGGAGCAACCGCTAGTCTGGCACTGCGTTAGACAGCCGCGGTTTGGCGGCAGCGCACAGGCACGGGCGTGGACGCCTAAGGGGCGGGTCCTTCGGCCGGGAAACCCCGTTGGCCCGCGAGGCTCTTCCTTTCTGATCCGCCATCTGTGGTGAGTGTGTGCTCCGTGATCCGGCTCCGACCGGTGGTCTTAGGCGTCCGCTCTCACCTGGGTCGTCGGCTCTAATCCGTCTCTTTTCGAATGCAGGTGGCAGAGCCGCCAGGATGCAGATTTTCGTGAAGACCCTTACGGGGAAAACCATCACGCTCGAGGTACGGGCCAGGCGGTGTGAGAGCCGCGGCCTGGCGGAGAGCACAGTGCCGCCCGAGGCTTGAGCGCGTCTCTGAGTTCGAAGCTTGGCCGTGAGCCGAGGATGGGTTGCTTACAGGCGCCAGAGTTGGGTTTTCGGTGCCGAAAGTTGGCGGCGCCTGCCCGGTGGCGAGTCGCAGCGCAGGCTCGAGCGCGTGGCTGGCGCCGCGGCCGGCACTCGCCCCGGCCTGGGAACGGGGTTGGCTTGTAGCACTCCCGGGAGGGCTGTGCACTGCGTCGCCCGCCTCGAATAGGTGCCGGCTTTGTGTAATGTGGACATCCGCAGAGATCGATGTTCTAGTTTCTTAGTGTTTAACTGTGTTTTAAAACTTGTAGGTTGAACCCTCGGACACTATAGAAAATGTCAAGGCCAAGATCCAGGATAAGGAAGGCAAGTGATGTTTTGTCGCTAGAGAAATCTATGGTTGTGTGACCTAGGCATATTTGTTCATAGGGTAGAGATTAACTTTGGAAACTCTGCATGGTAATTTTGTTTCTACGTGTGAATTTTAACAATATTTTCCCCAGTTTACTGTCTCACGGAAGCTGTTAGCATGTATTAAATGTTCAAGCATGTTCAAACATGAAAAGAGTTGAGTAGTTAAAGTCAGTGGCCACTGTTCGCAGTTGTTTGTTAGAGGGGTATCTGTAGCTTGGTATGTACCTAGTTCGATTAAGTCCGGTATTTATTCTTGCAATTAGGAATTCCTCCTGATCAGCAGAGGTTGATCTTCGCTGGCAAGCAGCTGGAAGATGGCCGTACTTTGTCTGACTACAACATCCAAAAGGTTTGTTTGAGGGAAAACTTGCAGAAATAGGAAATGTGGGATTAGAGTCCATGCCAGTCCACTAACATTGGGAAGCACTGCAGTTGTTTACTGTTAAAATGTGATGATGATTGATGTTTTTGATTTGTGGGGAGAGGTCTCCTGTGGTCCAGGAGGGTCGTAATGCATTCCTGAGATGATCCCATCCCCAAGTGCAGTGTGGGTGGGATGGTTGCTGCTGGCAGGCACAATCACACCTAGCAGTTGACAGATTGGAGTCAGGATTGTTGATGCTCTAGGGCTTGATGCCTCCTTGATCCTTCACAACAGGAGTCCACCCTTCATTTGGTGTTGAGACTTCGTGGTGGTGCTAAGAAAAGGAAGAAGAAGTCTTACACCACCCCCAAGAAGAACAAGCATAAGAGGAAGAAGGTGAAGCTGGCTGTACTCAAGTACTATAAGGTGAGCTGTCGAAGCGGGGATCAGCAAAACCTGCGGTCGATTTGGAACAAGTTCAGAGCAGTTGACTTACAGAAATGCTGACTTGAATACTAGAATTTCTTAAAGTGTTTTTACTTGTGAATATGTTTGCACGTGAGTGAAGAAAGGCAGGGATGTCAGATCCCCTAGAGTTGGGGTTGTAGGCGTGAGCTGTCAGGTGTGGGTGCTGGGAACTGAATGCAGGTTCTCAGCGAGGACGGTTTATGCCCTCAACCACTAAAACCATCACTCCAACCCCTAAAAGGCACTAGAAATTATTGGTGTTGTAAGGTCCAGCGGTTAATAACTTGAGTCACTTAAGTCAGACTTCAGGATGTGTTTTGTGGGATTGTCTTAGAGTAAGTTTTTGTTTTTTTCAGGTGGATGAAAATGGCAAAATTAGCCGTCTTCGTCGGGAGTGTCCTTCTGATGAATGTGGTGCTGGAGTTTTCATGGCCAGCCACTTTGACAGACATTATTGTGGCAAGTGCTGTCTGACTTACTGCTTCAACAAGCCAGAAGACAAGTAGTTGTGTATGGATAAATAAAAAGACAGGAATTGATGTTTAGTGTTGAGTTTTGTTGTATGTTTAAAGACTGTTTCTTGGGCTATGTGACTAGTCCTTTTGGTTCCTGTCTTAGGTGCCAGCTGCCTGGCTTGCATTGACTTGAGCCAGAATTTTTTTTAAGGGATTGGGGGATGTCCTTTGCTTTAGAGAATGATTAGTCTGTGTTGATGGAACTAGAGAGGCCACCTCCCTATCCCTTTGATCTTGATCTTTAAGACATATAGTATGTCTCACCCCACAGATGAATTGATTACTTGAACTAGAGAGGTGGCTCAGAGTTAAGAGCACTATCCCGAGTCACAAGATAGGTAATATCCAGAGTTTAAGGAAGTGTACTCCCTGTTGATGTATGCAGGAGGGGTCAATTTGGGGAGGGGGGATATCCATTTTTTTTTTTGACAGGGTCTCTTTGTAGCCTTGCTGGCCTTGATTTAGGTCTGCCTCTGGGATGTGTTGCCTTGCTTGGCTCATTGTGAATTCTTAACTCTGATAAGGCAAAGCTATTTGCTATATAAGAAAAAGCTAGGCATGGTGGTGCGTGTTTAAAATTTCACAACTTGGGAGGCTGAGGCAGGAGATTGCTTAACCAGCCTGTGTTAAGTATCAAGACCCCCGTCTTTAAAGGACACGAAACAATACATTTATTATTTTTATTGTACTTTTAAAATCCTGGATCCCAAGACGTCTTAGCTGGCACTTCATTTTCCTCATAACAAACAATTTCATCTCCCACTTTGAATTCTACTTTTTCTTCATCTAAAGTAAGACCACAGTCCATTCCGGTTTTGATGACTGAAACGTCATCTTTGTGGTGTTTCAATGAGGTTAATGAGCCTTAAAAAAAGAAAAAGCCACTGTTAGTAAAAGATACCTACTAAGGGGTACATGGCTTGGTGTAACTTGGTTTTCTACTTTAATGCGGGTTCTGGGTATTAAACTCCAGTTGTCAGGCTTATGTGGCAAGTGCCTTACCTGGGGATCTATTTGACTGTGCCCTTCCACACAATATAGTCCTTAGGTAAGAGTAAATACCAAGGAAGTTCAAAAAGACTTAAAAGTTGACCTGATCTGAAATGTCCCATTTTAAAGGTAGTCTAAAACTGCACTGGGGTTGTATCAAAAAATGCACAGAAGATGGCAGGCAAATCTGAAGACCAGTCAGGGGGTGCCCTAATGTGTAATTTTGGGGACCGTGGGACCAAAGAACAACACAGGTGATCTGAAGACCAGTTAGGGGGTGGTGCCCTGATGTGTAATGTTGGGGACCTTGGGACCAGAGGACAGTACAGGGGCTGAACAGAACACAGGTGATTTTTTTTTTAACAGAACCAAGACTAATCTTGGGAGTGTCCTCAGCTAACTGAGGCTAGGCAAGGGAAAAAATGCATACGTTTTGGATGTTACCCAGTCAGGACTTGGTGATTATGATTTAGAAATAGGTTTTAATATTGCTTACCCTTCCAAATAACTTGTCCATTTCGGATTAATTTAAACTTCTTCTGTTTTTCTAACTGACCCTTTTGAACTCTGCAGCCAGCCACAGGAACTTTTCTCTTCCCTTCTGTTACAGCAAACGTCGCTAGTATGCAAGCCTCCCCTTCAGGAAGAGCACAGTGGAGGAAAGTGTCATGTGTAAGTTCCTGGCCAGCCAGCACTACACATTCATCCCCTGTCTTAGCCGACATTAGTCTGGGAAATGGTATTTCTTTGAAACCACTAACTTAATTTTCATAAGCAATAATTAGAATTAACAGGTGGAGAACCCCAGGGGCTGCAGAGATGACAGTTAAGTGACCCCGATTTAATGTCCAGTGTCCACCCACATGGTGGCTCATGAGCTTCTGTAACTCTAGTCCCAGGGATCTAGCATCCTGTTCTGGCTTCACAGGCACTGGCTAGACCTGTAGAGACTGCACCCATACACAGCTGGGTGGTGGTGGCGCCCACCTAGCATTGGAGACAGGTGGATCTCTGAGTACTGGTCTACAAGAGCTAGTCCTAGAACTGTTAGGGCTGTTACACAGAGAAACCCTGTCTCCAACAAACAAAACCCCACCCATACACAAAAATCCTTGAGTATTTCTCTGCTCCATAAAAATCTACTGTTGCTGGGCGGTGGTGGTGCACATCTCTAATCCCAGCACTTGGAAGGCAGAGGCAGGCACAGGCAAATTTCTTGAGTCTGAGGCCAAGTTTGGTCTACAGAGAGTTCCAGGATGGCCACATATATAGAGAAACCCAGTCTGAAAGAACAACACTGTTTGGCTTTCCTTTAATACATTTTCTTTTTTGCTCGAGATGGTTTTACTGTGTAGTCCTGGAACTCACTCTGTAGACCAGGCTAGCCTCAAGCTCACAGAGATCCACCTGCCTTTGCTTCCTGAGCCATTGTCTGGCTCAATCTATTTTGTAATGCAGACTGTTGCTATCTTTAAATCATTTCAGGTTTTTTTTTTTTCCATATACTGAACACTAATTGTAACTCAAGTTCTAACATCAAAGTGACCAGTTTTGAATGTTTCCTGACTGATGGTGTCAGTAATATTTGGTGTGTACACTTCTGGAAACCCTCAGTTGGCTTTTCCAAATTGCTCTTGGTACAAAAACAACATTTTTGTATACTGTTCATATTTAGCCTATAATAAATCTATATAGACCCAAACCAGATCTTATAAGGGAACAAACGTGGTAAATGAAGTTGCTGATCTTCACATTTTAAAAATGTTAAGGTCAAAAGGATAGATGAAAGAATTATTCCAGATTAAATAGGATTACAAGAGACGTGACAACTGCATGTAATTTATGAGCCTGATGGGCCTGATCTAGGTGAAAAATCTGCTTTAAAAAGTACATTGTGGGGCCAAGGCACTTGACTTGATCCCAGGGCTTGGGAGCTGAAGGATCAGAAGTTCAAGGCCATACTTTAGTATACAGCTGGGGACAGCCTACGTTACATAATATCCTGTCTCAAAACTAGATAAAATCTGATCATAGACTGGACTAGACTATTAGAGTTAATACTTAACAATTTTAAATAAATTTGGCCTTCAATCCGTCCAAGACTATGCTAGTATACTTAAATACATACGTACTATTTAATATGCTTTCAATGTGTATTCATCTGTCAGTCTCAGAGCAAAACCAAAAGCTCTATGACACTATTACTATTATTGTTCATGTGTAGACTTGATGCAAGTTCTCAGTCTCTTTGGTTTTATATCCTCTGGGCTTGAATGAACTCTGTCACTGTACAAGTCACATACAAGTCACTGAATTCTCACCTCATGGTATCATTTTTTCTACAACGCCTTGTATGGAACAGCAAATCCATTTCCCTAAGCTTTGCTTTTAGGTCTTACAGCAGCTGAGGTAAACATTAGAAAGCTGCAGCAAGCACTCACCTATCGGGTATTCCTCCAGCCTGTGAGGCAACCTGCTGCTTAGTTCCTCCTGCAGATCTTCAATAAGATGGTAGATGATTCTGTGAAGTTTAATCTTAACTCCTTTCTGTGCAGCTGACTGCTGGATAGCTTTGCCTGCATCCACGTTGAAGCCATAAATAACACCTAGCAAGTAGAGACAAGATGAGCACACTAGCACAAGCATCATCAGGACAATCACTTATCTTGAGGCAGGAAGTCAAATCTAAACTGTTTTACTTTGTAATTACATAGCTATTGTGTGACTATTCTCATGAAAACTAGTAAAATTTTAATTATTTTTATTATTGGATTTTATAAATTGCACCATGTTTAAAAGGATGTTTTATGATTTAAAATAATTTTAATTTATTGTGACTATTTTGATTGTGTGTTAATGTGTAAGCATGCATGATGGTTAGAAGGGGAGTCGGCTTTCCTGGAACTGGCATTACAGGGTCACAAGATGAAGTAAAGTACTGGATAGATGGCCAACAGACAATGAACACTCAGAGGGTAGTGAGAGATACCTGGAGTGCGTGTGCTACTAGGGACAAGGGTAATAAAAAAAAAAACAAATCAAGGATCAGTACTTGGTCTTGCACTAGATCCCAAGGTTGCATTGGCCATGACAGATGTGATTACTGATGCACTAGGAGAATGCTAGCCAATGATCAGCCAATCACAAGACATAAGCGAGAAGGTACACAAGATGATGGGTTTACACAGATAAATATATAGCCCATAGAATCTTTACCACCAAATGTCTCAGCAAAGTTGACGTCATTTTCACTAATGTCACCCAATCCAAAATGTACCAATTCTAGTTCACATTCATGGGAAGCATCATACGTATCAAGAAGGTTCAAGATGGTCTCCACAGACCCATCAACATCACCTACAGATACAGCAAGAGTTTAAAATGTGTTAGTTGTAAGAGTCAGGTATGTAAAATGAAAATCTATTTTAAAGCCAAGACAGGAATGGCATTAATAACTAAAACCACTATTATTTAAGTTTAGCATTATAAGAACTTACAATATAAAAATACAAAGAAATTCAAAGAAACATTTTACAATGAAATCAATACAAGCTATGCTTGTTCAGAAAAAAAAATTTTGAGCATCAAACCACTGAAAAAAAATCGAAGTAGAAACCTACTTTGATTTAAGGGTTTGTTGGGGCAGTGCACATCTGTAACCTGGGCATTCAGAAAACCCAGGTTAGCTTGGCTATAAAACAAGACTGCCACCCCCGCCAATAGATAAAGGAGGGGTTCTAAATTATGAGAACAAAAATAATTTAAATGGTGAGTAGAAAAGTAAAGACCTTCAAAAACTTACCTTTAATAATTAAAGGAAGTACATTTGAGTCCCTTTCTGCCTTTTCCTTGGGCTTTAAGAGTCTCTGTTCTTTTCTTTCAAGGTACTTCATATACGACCTCTTCTTCCAGTGCAGACTGCCATACTTTGCACGGGCTTTCCGCTGCTCTTCTTGGTGTTCCTTTCGCATTTCTTCCATTATTTTCAGGTCATCTTTGCTTTTTTCCTCTTTCTGCTCAGTCTTCCTCCATTC